AGTAAATGGTAATATGCGCATAGCCTATGATATGTCTGGGAAATACTGTGCACAGTTCTGGACATACCGTAATTCAGGCGACAGGCCACAAATCAATGGAAGAGCATGTGCTTTGCTTTGATAAGGGTCCCAGCATCTCCAATTTAAAAAGGATCAAATAATGAGAAAGACTCTGGAGAACAGCTGCCAGTCAGAGCAGACCATACTGTGCTAGATGGGGGAAGTTGCATGAGGTTTGAGGGAAATTTGCAGAAATAGGGGTGGCAGGATGAGAAGGTGCTGGAAGGCCGAAGTGAGGAAGAAGAGCTTGTGGATCCTTTAACTACTGTCTGGGAGCATTGTGAACAGACTGAGAAATGTGTGAAAGCTCGAGAACCATGCTTAGGCAAACTAAGGCCCGGGGGCCGGATCCAGCCTGCGGACGGTCTGGAATCAGCATGTTTTTACATGAGTAGAATGTGTCCTTTTATTTAACATGCATCTCTGAGTTATTTGTGGGGCCTACCTGGTATTTTTACATGAGTGAAATGTGTGCTTTTATTTAACATGCATCTCTGGGTTATTTGTGGGGCATAGGAATTCGTTCTTCTTTTTTTCAAAATATAGTCCGGCCCCCCACAAGGTCTGAGGGACAGTGGACCGGCCCCCTGCTGAAAATGTTTGCTGACCCCTGGTTTAGAGGAGTGAAGTGCTCAAGTGTCATCCAAGTCCCGTAAAGAGGAGAATTGTACAGAGGAACTCTTTGACTTCTTGCATGCTAAATACCACTGGGTGGCTCATAAACTCTTCAGCAAATTGAAATAAATGTTAATATAAGCCTGTGTCCTCCTCATGCATAGCTGATGAAAACCGGAGTCTGTTCAGTTTGAGTAAACATGAAGCTCTGCAGCTGTAATATGAAAGTGAATGCAACTAGCTCTCTGGTAATTCGGACAGAATTTAAGAGTGGCCATCAGCTACATCTATGTTCTGTAGAAGATTTGTGGCGGCTAACAAAGTATTTCTGTAGATTTCTGGTATTAAAGATATTTCCTGTCAAATGTGAAAATGTTTGCTTGTTATGACAGCCAAGGCCTCTTAGCATACTCTGAGGTAAAACATTAAAACTTAGGCAATTTGGTATAATAATAATAATAATAATAATAATAATAATAATAATGCGGTAGATGGGCAATCAGTCCAACCTGATATATTACTATTTAATATTTTTATTTATTAAATTTGTATACTGCCCTATAACTGCAGGCCTCAGGGCAGTTCACAACGTAAAATCACAATATAAATACACAAAATACACAATAAAAAGAAAAACAACCCAATAATGCCCCATCCCAGCACATTTTAAAAGGACATTTTCGTATGTTTATCTTCCTGTCTTACTGTCTTAAAAGAATGACAAAGAATGACAATGCAGAGATACATGAAAGGGCAACTAACATGATAAAGAGTCTGGAACACCTCAGCGAGAAAAGGGTAAGTACCTTTTAATTTTTCTTTTAAAGGACAACTAAGGGACGGCATGCTCGAGGTTTATAGAATTATGCACGTTTTAGGGAAAGTGATACTATTCACCCCGGATGCCAGAACCTGGGGTCACTGGATGAAATTTGTTGGCAGTAGCTAGGACAGACAGAAGAGAGTACTTTTTCACACCGTCGACATATTAGCCACAAGCTTGGGAATGCCACAGTTGCTTGCCATGTGATGCCATGGAGGAAATGTCTAGAAATGGCTGTTACCAATGCTGTCAAGCTTCAACTTTAGGACAAAGCTCCACCTCTACCCCACCCAGAGGTGGAGCTAGGTGCTCTAGCATCCCAGAGGGCCGCCGTGCACGTCCCAGGGGGTGCATCGTCCATGGCATCTGGGGGCGGCGCGGCGATGTCAAAAAAAACCCCTCCGGGATTGTACCCGGAGCAGACCGCACCCACCACTCCCACCTTGCTCCACCTCTGGCCCCACCTCAGACAAATGAACAGCTGGGCCCACAAATGCAGCAGGATTGCTCACTAGCTTTTTTAAAAAGTAAATGAAATAACTCACATAAAGAGGCAGATTTCCCCCAAAGAGCATTAAGACCAGAGTCAAAAATTTCCCTAAATGCACCCACAGAACTCATGCCTCTCAAGAGCAGCTGTTGAGGGAAAACAATAGGGGAGGGCTGGCGAGGTTTGTTTGTTTGTTTGTTTGTTTGTTTGTTTGTTTCAGATACACCCCGCTTTGCATTTAAAAGTCCAAGGTGGTTAACCATTCAAATAAAAGTCAAGGTCTTTGGGGAACTTTCTGGCTGACCGCTGTTCACCGCTCAACCAGGTGAATCCTTGGCCTGTTTCATCAAGTCTCTTTCAAAGTTTCCATAAAGGCATGGAGTTTGTTTTATTTTATTTTCAGTGCTATACTAAGTTTGCACAGTTTTGCTCAGGTCCTAATGCAGCTATAGCCATCCCAATAAATGTAATGCGATGTGCTGAAATCAGGAGGTAATTTCAGGGTAGAGTCTGAAATAGCTTGGCTCCGGTATCATAAACGCAAAGAGATATTTAACTTCTGCAATGTGTTTAAGAATGCAGGATGTTAGCGTGCATCCCCCTAGGAAAAGGGAAATTATCTAATAAAATAATGCAGACAGGCTATTGTTGACAATGATTCATCGACAGCTTGATTTATAATTCAGTTTTCAGGCAATTTATCAGATTAATATTAAAAAGAATGATACATTTCCTTACTTTTCTAATGCGCTTTGGGCTATTCGTTGCTTCTCCTTTTTTTCCCGTTCTTTGTGCTTCTTAACCCGAATCTCCCACAATCCTCTGATGGCCGCAAAGTCTAATACGATCACCTGATGCCCCATGTTGCTGACATTAAGATTCTCCTGCAATAACATTTTATTAACATGGCGTCATTATAAGGAAAAAGAAGCCGATGACTTAAAGAAAAGAAAAGCAGATAATATAGTTAGGCATTGGCATACAACCCTTTCAGTCCTCATTTCAGATGAGGACATGACAATCAAACCAAAACAGAAAATTATTAGAGTTATTATTTGCAATAGTTTTAATAATCCATATTCCTCTCTGTATTCATCACCTTCAGTCAGGGCCGTCTTTAGCATATGTGCTGCCGGGGTGCAAAGATCCACCCAGTGCCCCCAAATTTAGTTTAGCCACCCCCCAATTTTTTTGGGGGGGGAGAACTCAAGGTTGTTGACCTTTTCGTGGGGAGGAAAATCGCTCACCTGTAACGACAACACAGCGGAAATAAATGCTTTTATTTCCTGACTTGTCGGAAATATTTGATGCTATGGAGTAACAGAGCGACAGAGGAGAGGGGCTCCATTGCTTTTCACTGCCACCGATCAAGAGGGACTGTGCTGGTCCCGGGGGGGTTACCGTGCGGCGTGGTCTGAGTCCGGTCCTGGGTTGAGGGTCTGGAGGCTGTCCGACAAGGGCGAAGCGGGGTCCAAGGCAAGGAGCCGGGCGTGGTCAGGAACTCCAGAAGAGCAGGTCAGGGTGCTGGCAGGAACAGGTTTCCAGCGATGTTGCTCCCACAACCTGGGACTGGGCTGACTGGCCTTTATCTCCTCTGGGGCCTATGGCGGTCCCGGCCCACAGGTGACCCACCTCTTCTGGCCTTAAGGCGAGCACTCCTCCTCCGAGAACTTAGTTCCCTCCGCCTCTCTGCCCTGAGCCTCTGCAGCTCAGGAGAGGCTGGAGGGTTACCGGACCCAGAGGCAACCTCACCTTCCCCTGACAGGGCTGGGAGAGGAGCACCTGCAGGCAACGGGTCCTCAATCACCTCCGGAGCCGGAGTGGATTCATCTGGTGTCTGCTCCTGAGGATCTGGCACAGGTGAGGGCCCTTCAAGTTCAAGCCCCTGCCCTGGCTCAGCTGGCCCTGGAGGCAGGGACTCCTGTGCAGGCTGGGATTCTTCAGGTTCAGCCTCTGAATCAGATTCCCAGGCCATCACAGGGACCAGTATACAGTAGGTATACATTTGCCACCCCTCATAATACATTTGGCACCCCCCAGAAATCGGTGCCTGGGTGCACCGCACCCCTTGCACCCCTGGGTAAAGACGGCCCTGCCTTCAGTACTGTTTCCATCCTGCCGCAGTGTGGTTGCCGCCAAATAATATGTTATTCATCTCTCTGTCCACTATTTAACATGGGTTACGTAATTTATGAAACTTGTTACATAACCTACATTCATTTCAACGTAAAGGAAATCCCTTTTGAACTCTTTTGTGCTCCAGAATCTCTCCCCATGGAACTCAGCTTTCATCTGGGGTCTTTGAAGCCGACTTTCTTAAAATCCATCGTCCAGCTATGTCTTTAGAACTTTTTTTGCATCTCTTTGAAGGGACATGGAGAGTGACCTGTCACAGCTTAACACTCTTTGCACTGAGCACCATTTTATAACTCTGTTAATTTTTGTAACTGATAGCAGTAAAGCACTTTTCTGGCTACAATTTTAAAAATTAATCCCCCCCCCCATATATATATACTGTATACAGTGGTACCTTGTTTCTCAAACGCCTTGGGACTCAAACAACTTGGAACCCAAACACTGCAAACCCGTAAGTAAGCGAACTTTTTTTGGAAGCTGAACATGTTCCGTTTTGAGTGTTACGCTTCTGATTTGACTGCCACACTTTCGTTTAGAGTGTTACACTGAGTTCTGTCTGTTTTTGCTATTTATTTTATGTTTTTGCAGCTTTTTTGTTTTGTTTTTGTGACTGTGTGGAACCCAGTTCAGCTACTGATTGATTGTGTGACTGTTTATTTCTTTCATTTTATAGATCAGCGGTCTCGTTGGATAGTAAAATTCATGTTAAACTGCTGTTTCAGGGGTTGTTTTTAAAAGTCTGGAACGGATTCATCTGTTTTGCATTACTTTCTATGGGAAAGCGTGCCTTGGTTTTGGAACGCTTTGGTTTTGGAATGGACTTCCGGAACGGATTAAGTTTGAGAACCAAGGTACCACTGTATAAGGAAAATAGGAGGGGCTGTAGCTCAGTGGCAGAGCATCTGATTTGCATCCAGATGATTCCAGTTTCGATTCCCAGCAGCCTCAGGTAGGGCCAGGAGAGAACACTGCCTGAAATTCTGAAGAGCTCATGCCACTCCATGTAGACTGTCCTGAGCTGGATAGATGAATGATCTACCTCAATATAAGGCAGCTTCCTATATTCTTATGGGTATGGTCAATGCCTGGGCAGGCGGCCTTCTGGAAACCACATGCATAAAGGTAAAGGGGACCCCTGACCATAAGGTCCAGTCATGACCGACTCTGGGGTTGCGGCGCTCATCTCGCTTTACTGGCTGAGGAAGCCGGCGTACATCTTCCGGGTCATGTGGCCAGCATGACTAAGCCGCTTCTGGCGAACCAGAGCAGCGCACAGAAACGCCGTTTACCTTCCCGCCAGAGCAGTACCTATTTATCTACTTGCACTTTGACGTGCTTTCGAACTGCTAGGTTGGCAGGAGCAGGGACCAAGCAACAGGCGCTTACCCCCTCACGGGGATTCAAACCGCCGACCTTCTGATTGGCAAGTCCTAGGCTCTGTGGTTTAACCCACAGCGCCACCCGCGTCCCTAACCACATGCATGCCCACACATAAATAGAAGGCAAGCTAGCACAGGAAGGGCTATGACTACCATACTCCATCCTGCAAGGGACATTTTAGAGCAGTTTTCCCCAACCTGGTCTCTCCAGGTGTTTAGAATCGCAACTCCCATCAGCACCAAGCTCCATGGCCAGTGGTCAGGGATGATGGGAGTTGTAGTCCAAAAGTATAGAGGGCATGAGATTGGGGGGAGCTAGTGGGCATCCTCACGAGAAACTCAAGGGCACTCCCATAATGAAGACTAATTCTCGTGTCACTTCTGTATGATACGCTCCTACTGCATGGGAAAGGGCAGGTATAAATCACGAATGTGTACACCGACCTCCTCCAGTTACAAGCCTTTCATTTTGTTTTCTACCACCCGTGCTTCCACCTTCTGACTCATGTACAATTTATCACCTGCATCATCTCCCATAAATACCCAGCTCCATGCTGGCAAAGGAAGCGCTCGCATTACGTATATGTGAATAAGGCATATTTGGATAAATCCTCCTTGCTTAGCTGCTCACGCTATGGGGGAAACTGTCAGAAAGCACCTTGCTGATTTATGACGCCTCCTCTCTGGGAGGAGCTTTTGCCACACACAGCTCACAGGATTCGGGTGGAAGGGCATTTAGCTGCAGTTTCTGCACGACTCTGTACTATGTCTGTTGCTGGCGAAGCCCATCTTTCCTGAAGGCCGCCTGTTTTGAATTATTTTTGAGGTCACAGGCCACCTTTCGTAGATGATACATCGTTGTTGTTTCATTCAGCTTTATGATCTATTACTCAGAGAGATCATGAAAGTTGGTCTCTTTGGCAATACACTATAAAAAGCAGAGTGTCTCGACCAGAGAAGAAAGAGTCCAATACTGGGAAAAGGGGAGCTGATGAGTAATTTACAATAGTATCTCCTGTGACAAGCTCCGCATGTTGGAGTCTATAGTAGCAGGTAATCTTAGCTTTAGCAATACCTATTTACACATGGAGAATTTACTGGGCCTGAATCCATATGCTTGTGTTTAACAGAGTGAGCTAGAATCATGCCGGTGCCTCTCCAATGGCTACCTCAGATTTACAGAAGGAATGAGTCAATGCATCAGCCATAACTCAGGGCTGCTGCAAAATCCCTTTCTGCTTTCCAGAGCATTTTCAAAGCAGCTGCTACCATTTGCACAACGGCTAGATCTGAAGCTGCTTTTTTTATTATTCAACAGTCACTGCATGCCACATTAGTGTTACTTATATTTCCAACATTATTCACAGTTTCAGGCTTCAAAAATGGAATTTTTATTATTTGCACGTCTCATCGGTCCTGGTTTCCTGGTTTGGTTTATGTATTTGTTTTGCAGAAACCAATACAATTTACATATTTCCCCTCCATTTATTTCACTTTTACAAGGAAGCCTGCAGACCCAGTTCTGCCAGAAATGTTAGGTGTGCTGAGGTTCGACTGAAACTAATGTGCACAGTTAACACATTCTCAAGATGAATCTTCTGTAGAAATGTAGTTTTCGCAAACTGTACATCATCGCAGCACTCATTAACTAAAAGCTCATCTAGGCTTCCTTTTGTGTTGTGTTTCAGGGCACAGGTCCACACTTTAAAGCTCTGTGTCTGAGCTCTTCCCTCCTATGCCAGCACTTTTCCCATGAAAACTCACTCTGTGCCTTAGAAAACATAGATTTGATAGGTCTCTAAGTATCATGCTTCAGCCTTTTCCACAACATTCCTCTGAAGCGTTCCTTTCTTCCTCCACCTAGAGCTGCCATACGTCCAGATTTTCCTGAACATTACTCAGATTTCAAAGGCGGAATTGACGTCCAAAGGGGGATTTCTGAAAGGTGGCGCTTAGGCAAGTCAATTGAAAAATAGCCTTTTTGTAAAATTGGGGGGGGGGGGGGGTCCTTAAAAAAGCTCAACAATATCGAGGTCTTTTTGAAATATGGCAACCCTACCTGCACCTGGCTTCCCAGAAAAGTTTGAGTCTGCTCTCAGCGCCAGCCTGAAGCACAGCAACAAATGCCACCAACATGGTTTGACATGAGGTGCATAACAGTCACAGACCTGTGTCTCATGTGAATATATCTGATTTGTTGGTTGCCGCTGCGATGTGATCATGGTTCCCTGTCATAGTGGCAATGTATGCAAGCAGTAGGCACGTGGGTTGTGTCACTTACACACTTTACAATGGTACTTTGGTTCTCAAACTTAATCTGTTCCGGAAGTCCGTTCCAAAACCAAGGCGCACTTTCCCATAGAAAGTAATGCAAAACGGATTAATCCGTTCCAGACTTTTAAAAACAACCCCTCAAACAGCAATTTAACATGAATTTTACTATCTAACGAGACTATTGATCCATAAAATGAAAGCAATAATCAATGTACTGTACTATAAAATAAATAAGACAGTATTGTAGATGATAAAAATCAAAATTATTTTTTTTTCTTACCTGCACTGATGGTAGTCATTGTTTGGATGGGAGGCTTTTATCCATTTCCGCAATCACACAATCAATCAATCAGTAGCTGAACTGGGTTCCACACAGTCACAAAAACAAATTAACCGAAAAAGCCTCAAAAACAAAAACACAAAATAAATAGCAAAAACAAAAGCGCCAGATACAGTGGTACCTTGGTTCTCAAACTTAATCCGTTCCAGGAGTCCGTTTGACTTCTGAAATGTTTGAAAACCAAGGCGCAGCTTCTGAGTGGTGCAGGAGCCCCAGGAACAATAGCTGACAATTGCATCAGACGTTCGGCTTCTGAAAAATGATTGAAACGTTTTCAGTGTTTGGGAAGCAAAGCGTTTGAGAACCAAGGTACCACTGTACAAACTAGCACCAAATCTCCATTGGGTAGGATTGCCACATTTGTTCTGGCAAAATACAGGGCGGGGCAGTTGGGGGCGATTTTATTCTTCTTCTTCTGGTGCTGAAGTGACTTCGAAGCAATCCATTACAATCTATTGCGGCCTAACAGGATGGCTCCTCGGGAATTTGTTACACACACACATGCGCGCGCACATACACATGAATTTATAAATCTATCTGTGCTTGGCTACCCAGAGTTTAAATGGATTACCTTTCACACACCCTTTAAAACACATGCATTTGGACAGGATCCCTAACTTGGCAGAGAGAGAGACAGAGAGAGAAGACCTGAAATACAGGACAAAACTGTATCAATACAGGACGTAGCATTTTGCATTGAAATACAGGACAATCCTGTATTATATAGGACAGGTGGCAACCCGACATTTGGGACCACCAGTTCTGGAAAGGACGGTAGTGACATCCTCTGGGATATACAGTGGTACCTCGGGTTACATACGCTTCAGGTTACATACACTTCAGGTTACAGACTCCGCTAACCCAGAAATAGTGCTTCAGGTTAAGAACTTTGCTTCAGGATATGAACAGAAATCGTGCAGCAGCGGCGCAGCAACAGCAGGAGGCCCCATTAGCTAAAGTGGTGCTTCAGGTTAAGAACAGTTTCAGGTTAAGTACGGACCTCTGGAACAAATTAAGTACTTAACCCGAGGTACCACTGTATGTCATGGTTGCAACTTGACAGGGTTCTAATGGAGGGAGGCCCCTCGCCATTGTGTGAGCTTGTCTCTTTTCCCGCTCTTTTAGCTGTAGCAGCCATTTTGTGTTATGCCAGGCCCCCAAAGCAGCCAATCTTTCATTTGCACCCAGGGCACTTTCACAAAATTCCAGATGGCCCCCAAAGGTGAGCAACACATCACCTGTGGATACTTGTCATTTTCCTCAAACACACAGTAGGCCGGGCTAGACTTTCGTAATACGGCGCCGTATGCAAGACTATAATTTGGTTCCCACAAATTAATCTTCTCAATTACGGACAGTTTCTGTTTCGCACCCTCTCAGCTTGGCGCCCTGTGTAAGGGAATCGCCTAGTAAAGTAAAGGTACCCCTGCCCGTACGGGCCAGTCGTGTCCGACTCTGGGGTTGCGTGCTCATCTTGCTCTAGAGGCCGTGAGCCGGCGCCTTCCGAAGACACTTCTGGGTCACGTGGCCAGCGTGACGAAGCTGCAGCTGGCGAGCCGGCAACAGCGCAGCACACGGAAACGCCGTTTACCTTCCCGCTATAAAGCGGTACCTATTTATCTACTTGCACTTAAGAGTGCTTTCAAACTACTAGGTGGGCAGGAGCTGGGACCGAACGATGGGAGCTCACCCCACCGCGGGGATTTGAACCGCCGACCTTCTGATCGGCAAGTCCTAGGCTCTGTGGTTTTACCCACAGCGCCACCCGCGTCCCTTAAGGGAATCGCCTGCAGCACCCTAAATCCAGTAGGGTTTGTATTCTATAACTCATCAAAGGAAATTATCTTATCGAGAAGGTTCTCTTTTATTGCTGTATTCTTTTCCCACAAAGTCTAAGCTCCTCTTGGGATGTTCATTAATTACGTCTTTAATTATGGATTAATTAGTAGTCAATT